GATGGTATCAAATCAAAACATACATAGTATGTTGATATATTTCACAGAAAACAACAAAGCAAAAAAAAAAGAGTATGAACACTTATCATATAGAAGGCTGTAGAAGGTTGTAGAAAGGAAGAAGTATTGATAAACAATGAAATGCGTACCTTTTTGCCTTTGATTAACCAAGCTAACAATTGTTTACTGCTATAGAAGGCTATAGAAAGGAAGACGTATTGATTTAGTATTTTGAATATCAATATAAACGAAGAGGTAAAAACATAGATAAAACACAATAAAAACCCACCTTTTGCAGGAGCGTGGAAGGAAAAATAAAAATGAGTTTTGGTGGAATATGTCATATATATGTATTGAATCCAAGTTGGTTTTGGAGGGATAAGATAAAAGTCATTTTTTATCTTATCCCTTAAATGTTGAATTTCAAAATGTAGTTAGGATAGATAATGTAGAACATTTTAGGATTATTTTTTAAAATTTAAAATTAGGATAATGTTGATGGTTAGTTAAGTTCCCGTCTTTGGTGGCTGATTTTTCGATTTAAATATGGTAAGTAGTTATGATAGACGGAAATAAATAGTGAATTGTTTTGTTAGGATGATATCACCAGAAATATTAAGAACGATCTAGGGGTTGAAATCAATCAAAAAAATCCAATGAATGGTTCTGATTGTTGAGTGTGAAATCATCAAGTTTCTGTTTTAATATATATAATATAAAGATAAGACAAACTTACTATTCTAGGAGGAAGTGCAAGATCTATAACTGTACCCTTTTTAGTACGCCTTAATAATATGCTTTTCAAAACCTTATCTTTGAACAGAATTATGGCTCTTTTACCATCCTCGCTACGCCCTATATCTGCAATTGGATTCGCAACATACTTATTCCATTAACAAAAGTGTCTCAGTAATTTGTGAGAAACGAACATATAAGAAAATTAAAAACCGCAATTCAGAAATGAGTGAAGGAAAACTGAAAAAATTTAAGTCATAAAAATATAATACTTACAAGTGAGTAGAGTTCTCCAAAGACACGATTATGAAGAGGGTTCCCACTTAAAGCCCATTTATATGAAGATTCAAAAGCAAAAACAACTTAAGGTTGTATATATACAAAAAAAATGTCAATATTCAATAATAGTCTATTAAGCCTAATTTTTTTAAGAAAGCATACCTGAACCAAAATCAAATGATCCCATTTAATTGAGAAATACGATAGAAACCATACATGACTATTGTGGATCCTTAAATGCATCCACTTAAATCCTGAAGCTGTCCAAAGAAAGGATGTGGATCAGGAAAAAAACTTGAATTACTAAAGTACAATTGAAAGCCACATGAGATATGTGAAAAAGATGCTATAGGGGCAGGCCCGTCTTAGAGGGTGGGCGATAGAGACGATCGTTTAGGGTCCATCTTTTAAAGGGGTTAAATTTTTTTTATGGAAATTGTTATATTTAAAAGATAGTACAAGAAATTTTCTTTCAATTATTGAGTTATTATAAAAAAACTTGATGACATTTATGTATTCTAATGGCCCATTTTTATTTTTCGCTCTGGGCCCAAAACATGTTTGGAACGACCCATAATACCCATAATCATTTTTTATGGAGCATTTTAACAAACACCTGCTATGGGAATAGCATTCCCAGAAACATTAACTCATATTATAATAATTGGCTATTGATACATACAGACAACGCAAAATATTAGATATAAAACTTTAATATTCACGAACCAATATACAAATTAAAATATTTCAAGTACTTCACCTATTAATGTAGTTATGATTGTGCATAACTGAAAACAAAAACAACATAAATTACATCTAAAAACTAATCGATAAAAACTCAGCAAACAAAAAAGAAGATGAAAAGAGGGTATAATTTAGAAGAATCTCAGTTCGAAAAGAAGTATCGACTTCATGTTCACACTTCACATCCATGCAATCTCGCTCTTCTTTCTTTCTCAGTCACCAACGTTTCGGAAAGAAGTATCGACTTCATGTTCACACTTCACATCCATGCAATCTCGCTCTTCTTTCTTTCTCAGTCACCAACGTTTCCATCAAGTCGACCCTTTTTGATGATCATTGAAGCATTTATTGTAATCTATTAGGGAAGGGTATCAACGAGTACCCATAACAGTGAATAGAGGTTCAAGAAATATAAACTTTCACAAGAATAACCCTTTATTAAATCTGCAAAAATATAAAATGCCCCAAACCCTTTAGTAAACCTGCAAAAAGATAAAAGTCTCGAAAATACTAAGTGAAAAAAATCATTTTTCAACCATCAAAATCATTCAATCATTTGTTCAAAAAACAAGTAGAGTGTAGTGTGTTCTTAAATATCAAAGTAAAATCATCAATAATGCGGAAATAAAATTCCAGGGGAGGGGATAGGGGATACAGAGCGATCAAGTTAGGTCCTTCCTTTTGAAACCAGAAGTACCTAAAACATTTAAACATGAAACCGTAAGCACAGATCTTAGTGAGTTCCCCAAAATGCCACATAACCAATACGAGCCTCGCCCGACATACATAACGGGCCCATATTTCATACATGACGGGTCCCGCCCAACATACATAATGGGCTCCGTCCAACATACATGCAATAATCATAAAGACACTCTAGCATCCTACACAATATAGTAAGAAGACTTACATCACGCTTGAAGTCGAATAGACTACAGCTCGTATAGTCGAGAGGGTGACGCTACACACCACCTAAAGAACCATATAAGGTCAACCCCTTAGTCTACTAACCAAACTACCAATTTGACCAAAAGTCAACTAGGTCAAAGTCAGCGGTCAAAATCAACTCAGAAGGTCACCACGTCGTGGCAGCTAAACGGAAAATTAGTCACGCAAACCTCATTCACCATGTCGTGGTTCCTGCTCCTAGACAACTTATTGGATTAATCCCTTTGCTCTAACTTTATAGAAAGCTTCTTGGGACCCTAAAGGCTCATAAAAATCTAAACTTTAAGGACATGCACGAACCATGCATTTCCTTCACTCAGACTAGGTTAAATGGTAAGAAAATGACATAAATCCCATACATGGCTCTTAAAACACACTAAACTTCTAGATCCAGAAGATATAATGATCAATGGACCGTGGTAAGTCATAAAGTTGTTAACTTTATCATACACAATCGCAAACTTTAACCATGGACCAAAATATGCTAACATAACCTAGATCTATAAGAAAGGAACCAAAAAAGATCAAGTCTTGAAGACTTACAATGGTCCAGAAGATGACAACAAGGGTGGATATGAGTTACTTGATGGTTCTTTGCACTAGAACTTCTTCTTCTTCCTTTAAAGATCACAAAATCACCAAGAATGAGCTCAAAAGCTTGAAGGGATGATAGGTTTTGATCAAGGCTTTCAAGGGAGTGATGGAGGTTGAGAGTGGACAAACCCTAGCCATCACATCCTTCAAATAGGGCCTTAGGCCCGGAAATTTAGGGTTTTGCACCCTGGCGTCACCGTGTCGTGGTGGATTAAATGATGTGTGATTCTTGTTGATCTGCCACGCCGTGGCGATCCTTCATCACCATGTCGTGGCCATCCAAAGTTCACAAAATTAAATTAATTTATTCATACTTGAAACCGGGTGTTACACATACATTTTTTCTGGTAATTTCCAAGGAAAACCCGTAGCTAAATCGAGGAATTGTTGACCGTGTGAATTGAAAGGCATCCAAAACCAGAAAAAAAAATGGGCTACAATTTCCGTTAGGGGGTGTTTTTTTCAATCGACAAATAATTATCTTGAGTACTCGGACGTGGTAAACCAGGTCGGCATTTATCTGACGGCCTGGAAGCATGCACCTTTCCCATGACAGATGAATTACAAGGTTCAGGGGCATAAATACCCCAAGTGAGGATCAAAACTTGGCCACACGTGAGAAACCTCTAGGGAATAAACTGATGGGTTTTATAGATGACAATAACTATGTGCTTGCGGAATTTCACTTAATATTTAAGGGCACATGCAACCTAAAGGATCTATGTCTTTAACACTTTGAATGTAACATGTTATGAACAACAAAAATAATTTGAACCCTAATGAACACCTAGTACAATCAAATACAATAATTAGAGTTACATACCTTTGATTTGTTGTAGTAAACAAATCACTTCAAACTCCTTATGGAAAACATTGGAAAGCAAGCACCATAAATCTTGTGCCTCTAATAGCTCACATCCAAAACCCTAGAAACTCTATAAAGAATAGGAGAGAGAGAGAGAGAGAGAGAGAGAGAGAGAGAGAAGAGGGAATAGATGTATAATTTTCGTTCCTAAGCCTTATAGGAAGAGCATGAACGAAATTGAGGCTATAAGGGATCATATTGGACAAAGAAAGATTTGAATAATTAAATAATAGATTTAATCCCAAATCAAATCATTTCCTTATCTTCATCCAAGTCTTTTGGAAACCCTAAGGGGGCTCCCAAAACCGTCCACCCCTTGGATGATTCTAGAATTGCTTCTTTTGTTCAACTATTGAACAATTACAATTCACCCATTGCACCTTTAATTAATTCTGATTAATCCCAAATTAATTCTAGATTAATTCTAATTAATAATTAATTAATTCTAATTTATTTCTTATTAATTTATTAATCATACAAATTAGCAAATCAGTTATATAACAATTGATCTCATGTTAATTTATTAATTGCATAATAAATTAGCATATCAATTATCTATTTTCAGTTAATATATTGATCACATAATATATTAACAAATTATATATCTCTTTTTCTCCTAATATCGTTTCTAGCTGTTTCTAGTTATGATGACAACCCAAAAGGACTTTGCTAATTATTCAAGATTATACTAATTTAATTATTGGCTTAGATATCCAAGCCAACATAAACTCAAGCAGTACCCCTTCCCAAGTAAGGTGAGAGTCATTGGTACTTAGGGGGTGTTTGGGACTGCTTTTGAAACAATTTATTGGCTTTTTGGAAAAGCCAAAAATTTTTGGCTTTTTGGTAAAGTCACTTCATGCCTGTTTTTGCTTAAAAAAATAGTGTTTACCAAACATTTTTTTAACTTATTGACTTTTTGAAAAGCTAATAAGTTAATAAATCATTTTGAAAATCACTCATATACACCCCCTTAATCAGTTATTATTTCTACTTACGTTTTCCAGTACTGAAAACCTTTGGAGATGTAGGTACAGACGGTTGAAATCGATTTTAGGGCTTTTGTTGGTCACCACCGGTAGAAATATAGGCGATTGCGTGTGGTAACGTCCGTTGTCTTCTTCTCCCACTGGTGCCAATATCGAATGGAATCAAAAGAAAATACAAATAGGGCGAAACCAGTCAATAACGGAGGTATTTACAAAAGCAGTCAATGGCGGTGGAGGAAGTGATTGGAGGAGAAGTCCGACATAGGCTATTTGTCATCGGCTGAGAAAAGAAGCCAGAACGCCGCAATGTAAATTAATACTATATAATATAATATGATGGTTATTTAACCATGAAGGAAAAATAAAACTAAAAAATATATATATTTAAAGAAAACATTTGTAATAGATAGTGCTTGGTGGTTAGTGACCGAAGCGAAATAATGTATAACAATAAAACTGAAAAATAAAGAGAGTGGAGGTTGAATTATAGATAAATACAATTTAAATATATAAAATACATATTAGAAAAATGTTAAAATAGATAGAGGTTCAATTATAAATAAAGATAGTTAAATATAATAAATCATAGAATAATCATATATATATCAATATACTATAAAATATTTATATATAATTATATTTAAACTAGAGGGAATGCTTTCGCTTCGCTACGGGTCAGGGAAAGTAGTCGTTTTCCTCTTCAGATGTGTACAAATACTTTTGTTTCAGTTACAGAATTAAGATAAAATCATGTAATAAAGTAGCAACATACAATTCGATCAGATCCTTTAGAGAAAGAAAGTAGAATTCAGAAAAGGAAGACATGCACTTTGGGATGCAAATGGAATGGATTTTGCTGAAAATATAATAGTATCATTCTTTTTGAAGTAAATGACAAAAAGTTCAATGATGTTGACAATTTTGTTCTGTTAGAGTCGAAACTTCAGACCAGTTTTAAGTTAACATGTTTGAAAAGCCCAAATGTGATCTTTTATCCAACCAGACAGAAAAACTGTATAACAATCAGTCATAAACTTTCAAAAACTGACATTTTTTAGGTATCCAATCAATCATATTATTATTTTTTTACTATTTATTTAAAGATATCTCAAACAATAATAATATATGAGTAGTTGTTGCACAGTTTAATGTAGTACACAACAATTCTGTAGTGGAGAATAGTCAGCTCTACATTCAAGGTCAAAGTGTACATTGTTTCACTTAGAAACTGTCGCATATAGTATTTTACCTATAATACAAGAATGCATCCATTATCCTTCATACATCATCCATCATCCATGTGACATTATGTATCCATAAAAGTTTAGAAGAAAAGAAAGAACCAAAGTGTATCTGTAGTTATGTGAACTTGGGCATCAAAACGTTGAATAGACCAATTCTACCCCTTCATTTTGATCATAAATTGTAATCTTAAGTAACAGTAGATCAAATTATGCAAATAATATAGTGCTAAAATTGTAAGTTTAAGGTTAAAAGACAAACATGATGATGATTGATGGAATATATTGATGTGAATATAATTACCTCCATTGCCAATGACCCATATTTGAAATATTCAAGTGCCTTGTCGCCCAGAAACTGAAAAAGTGCAAGAAATAGGATTCCTTAGAATTTACTATGATTTTTTGAGGTTGGAAGATGCAAGCAGTGAACTGCGCCAACCTTTGAACCTTGTAAATTTCACATTTTAACTATTTTGATGGAATTTATTACGATTTTAACAACTGAAATGGCGTAATGTTCGGTTGCTGGACAACCTGGACAAATAACACAGGTTGACCATTTTAAGTTCGGAATCATCCATTACTTTCTAAAGGTGAAAGGAAGTAGACATTCCCACCTTTCTAAAAATTTAAATTTCACTTTCTAATTATGTATAATAAATTTAGTATGATTTTTAGAAAATCCAGACAGATTGCCCAAATTTGCACCTCATCTTTTGTTTATGCTTATTTCACCTTAACCCATTAAGCAATTAAAAAGTTATTCTATTTACTAAGGTCTTTAATATATTAGTTTCGGATAAGCATATCCAGTGGCGTGATTGGCTTTTCCATTCAATTGAAGTGTTTGGTTGCTAATTGCAATTCAACCTTTTTTATTAAAAGAAAAGTGAAGTTTGATGGGAACCGAAAAGGTTGATTTGTTGCTGCAGAAAATATATACTCAGCTACTGCGGTCAAAGTTGTCTCTTGATCTGGCCCTGTACGTAGTTGCTATTGTTAGAAAGTCACTCCTAAGTGTAGTAATAAAGAAACACATACATGGGTTACCTTTTGATGAACATTATCATTGATGGAACAAAAAAAAAAAAACTCTATTAATATTGAGCAATTACCTTGATTCACCAGCAAAACGATAGTTGGGTTCCTCCATATTTCTCCTTTAGAAGCCAACATTCTTTCAACAGCCAACTGAAAAAAATATTTGTTAGACATATTAACTAAGTAGACTAAGAATTCAATAAGAATAAATCCATTTGTAAAAAAACTCATACCTGAGTTGCAATGCTAGCACGATGTTCCAGGGAGTCAGAGTGTAGGCCTGCCCTAGGTTCTGTTGTATCTGATGTTGTAATATCCTGGAACACAATTTCAGATCCATATGAAACATGTAGCTGGTGAGCTGTAGCAGATTTCAGTTTTCTTAGAATCAGTGGCTCATATTTTGGAGAAAAAGAACTCCATGTGTATATATTCAATCAATGAATCCTACCTTTTGTCACCCCCTATTTCTGATCGGTTCCATGCCTGGTCGACACTCCATAGGCTTTGCATCCCAGTTGATTTACTCCAACATTCTAACAGTTGGGCTTCTTCAACATTGAAACAATGCTCCTTGACTTTTATTTGATAATTGCAACAGAAAAACCCAGACTCAGTTATCTGAACAAATTCAGTAACAACACGGACAAAGAACCAAACATAAGAAGCGAAAATGTTATCACACACCTCTCATCGTCATCGGTCTGCTAACGCCTTTTCTATAGAAAGAACGAACACTCATAGTCCCAAATTTGTGCAATTTCACTGAAATCTAACTTGAAGAACTAAAAAAAAGTAGTAACCTGAGGATTAAGTGTGGTACGATCGGTCAGCGGAGTAGATGGAGGTGAAAGAAAGAACGTGATTGACAGACCGGAGATTATTTTCTAGGGTTTAAAGAATGAATTACACTTTCTTTCATCTTTGAAGCCGCCGACCAGAAAAAAGGTTAGAGAAGCATCTGAGTCGGTGATAGAGAAGAATGGTGATGGAAGAGATAAATGTGTAGAGGGAATCGCAGATGTGATTAAACTAACCCTATGGAGGATCGTGTGTCTGACACTTCGGAAGCCGGTGTAGAAACGGAAGAAGGGTCATCCGGTGGAGATCGATTGTAGGATGTTAACTCTCTGAAGCCGATGAGTTTAGAGAGAGATGGAGGGTTTTCGAAAAACGGTGGAATCCGAATATGATTGGATGAGAAAGCGGTGGGGGAAGATAAGGCGGTAGATCCTTAACACATGTGACACAGAATATACAACACGTCAAAAAATACCCCTTACAAAAACGAAGCGGGAATTGCAACCATACCCATAAACAGTGCGCCATTTGTGACAACCCCTTAGGAACTTTACTGTTCCTAAGGGTGGATAACTTTAATATATATATATATATATATATATATATATATATATATATATATATATATATATGGGAAATCTCCATAAAAGTCCCAATATTTACGGAAAAGTTACACTTTAGTCCCAAGATTTTTTTTTTGAACAAAAAAGTCCTGAAAACCAGCAAAAAATTTGCAGTTTGACTCTTTTTGACCGGTTGAAACCGGTACCAAATTATTTTGGGACTATTTCGTAAACTAACCCAAAATATTGGGACTTTTCTGTAAACAAAAAATATTATGACTTTTTTGTAAACAAAAATATTATGACTTTTCTACAAACAAAACCCTTATTATTATTATTATTATTAAAAATATAATAAGAATACTATTTTTTGAACTTGTTATTATTAATATTGTTACTAATACATATAAATGCATTTAAATGAAAAAATAATATTAATGACATTATTTAAGGGTGGAGGTGGAGGAGATGATGATGCTTTTAGCATTGAAATCATGAATGTATGCTTGTATATTTTTACTTTCGATATGGTCATTTCACATTTGTTATTATTGTTTTCAATTTAGAATACTAATACTTAACAATTTAAAAGAAGTTGTATATTTGTAAAATTGTTTATAAATAGTTTAAGGTAGAAATATTTCTCACTTTGTATATAAAAATATTTAAGGTAGAAAGATTTCTCACTTTCTACCTTAAACTATTTATAAACAATTTTACAAATATGTCACTTCTTTTAAATTGTTAAGTATTAATATTCTGAATTGAAAACAATAATAACAAATGTGAAATGACCATATACAAAGTAAAAATATACAAGCAAACATTCACGATTTCAATGCTAAAAGCATCATCATCTCCTCCACCTCCACCCTTAAACAATGTCATTAATATTATTTTTTTTCATTTAAATGCATTTATATGTATTAGTAACAATATTAATAATAACAAGTTCAAAAAATAGTATTCTTATTATATTTTTAATAATAATAATAATAATAATAATAATAAATGTTTTGTTTGTAGAAAAGTCTTAATATTTTTGTTTACAGAAAAGTCCTAATATTTTTTGTTTACAGAAAAATCCAAATATTTTAAGTTAGTTTACGAAATAGTTCTAAATTAATTTGGTACCAGTTTCAACCGGTTAAAAAGGGTCAAACTGCAAATTTTTGCCGGTTTTCAGGACTTTTTCGTTCAAAAAAAAAATCTTGGGACTAAAATGTAACTTTTCCGAAAATATTAGGACTTTTCTGAAGATTTTCCATA